GTGATGGAGAAGAAGAAGGACTTGACATTTCCTTGGGAAATGACGCATCAAATTGTCACCTGTTACATTGATTACAAGTGTAACAAGTGACATGTTAAAAATCTGCTGTTCCCCTCAAACCACATCCATTTTGGAAATTACAGACTTGTGATAAGTCCGAAATCTCATGGGAAATATATAAGTTGACAAATGATATATATTGGACACATGATAAAGAAGAGATAATTCATACTTGACCCTACCAAGAGCTTGAAGTAGAGAAATACAAGTGAAAGACACGTAAAAAATTTAAGATATCACTTTTTCTGTTTCTTTGCCTTTTCATCTGTCCACTTCTTCACGCCAACATTAATGGCCAGACTCCATTCTGCTGGTGTGATTTCCAACTGATCAATGTCAGCCAATTGCCGATGAGTTTCGGCCGAGTAAAAAGAGGCTGAGTTCAAGATGTATGATGGATTTTCAGCATGAACAATGTGATGTAGTGGGATGGTGGTATCTTGACGTTCAACTTGCTTGAATTTATTAGAACCAAGTACGCACTTGCTGTCGTGACAGTTGTGCTGAACATTCAAAACTGTATTGAGCGCCTTCTCCACAAAAAGATCAATGAGGAATGCTTCATGTGAGAAGTTTGGCTTGAGTGAAATGACATACATTCGGTTTGAGGAACACTGAATGATCAGTTTTTGTAATCTCGCGCATTGAGTAAAATGGATGAATGAATCCACGGGTGCAATAGTTCATCTCAATCATGCATTTGGATGGTGCCTCTCCCGCAGGCTTCCACATACTCTTGACACAGGCAATCAGTTCATTAGATGTCTGATTCGCTGGCTTGATCTGAGGATGGTGCAAAAAAAAGTTAGCGCAGCACATAATATTGTTTAAAAAAAATTCACAAACCCAAAGAAATGTAGCATCTTCCACCTTCTGATTGTTAGGTAAGATCAAACAAGTCACACGCTCCCAAGTTACATTAGGATGAGTGATAGAAAGGAATTCGGGAAGATCATCAGGAGAAATTTCAGGAGCTTTGTTTCGAGTGACTGATTGAAGTTTGAAAAAAAATGTGAGAATTTTCATCTGCTATTGAATGTCAAAGGAAAACAAATACCTTTCACGCGCAAGCCTTTATTTGTGTTCCAAGCAGTATTCACACCGAGAGAACGTTGAAGGTTTTTGTTTGTTGAAAATAAATTGAGAACTGCACTTCCGGCTGAAACCCGTTGACCAAGCTTCTGATCATACCATGTCCCACCTAACAGAACGTGAACAATCATTTGATAGCTATTGAAGGAATTTGCAATATCGCGTCCAGGTGCTAGATGATTCGAGTGAATTGAAGCTTTCCGTAATACAAAGTTGAAGCTTTCGAAAATTTCAGTAGCAACTAGATGACAAGGTCCAAACCACTGAATCGATTTGGGTAAATGAGTGAGCATATGAAATTTTGGTTTGTTCGTCCAGCGTGCATTAGACCCAACAAGACGGAGAAGGAAGTTGTCAACGGATCTTTGAAGTTCAATGAGATAACGATCCATATTTGAGATTTTGTTCTGAAAAATTAATGAGGCTAAAGAAATAAGCGCGCTCCAAAAGTATCTTTTTTCTCTACTGATTTCTTCAAATAAAATAAAAGGAATAGCTTGCATGATTACTTGATACTCCTTTCCAACAAGACTCTTGTAATACTGGATGAATGCGTTTGGGATGATTGGTGGGATGTTCAGTCCTTTCGTATCAAAAGATGCCCATCGAGCCATGATAGTTGAGTGTTGAGGAGTTCCTGGCTTGAGCGGCGAGAGTTCAGTCATTAACTCTTGCCAGGGATACTTTGCTACTCCTAAAAGATAGATGAAGCGCCTCAACCGGTGTGTCGTGGTGTCCATCAAAACCTATTAAAAAAGATGTCAGCTGTAAAAGGAACATCAAGTTAAATGTTTATTGAGCTTACCGGGTAGCCGAAGGAAGGGATTATAAACACGAGAACCAAATTTTGAGTCAAGATCTTGCCACAACTGACATGATTATTCAGGTTTCTTTGAATCGAAAACTTGTAGAACTTGATTCATCAACTTTTCGTTCACTGTATCACGAGTACCATGTAGACGTCGGGCTTTTGTAATTTCGTCTTTTGTATGTAAGCTACTACCTAAGTTCCAAATATCTTTTGTTAACTCTCGTGTGTTGTTCCAGTCGCGAAAAGCTAGAGGGTGCTACAAGTTTTGATAAAGAAAATCAGCTATTTTTATCTCTATGTTTTTTGAATTATCAATAGTAAAAATATGTACATACACGTTGAAAATTTTCATCAAGACCTACAAATTGTTGAACATAAGTTGTTGTCATCTTTTCTGATTTGCTATCCACTCAAAGATTGCATATTCGACACGGGGTAAGAGTAATTCCCGGATTGATACAATTGCAGATCTCAGCATGCCTTGGGGAATCTCCAAGATAGCATAGTACTACGACCATGACTAAGACCTCACGATCAATTTTGCAATCGTACGCTGCAAAGCCATCCGTCGCCAGAGAACTACACAGATGAGATTTAATAAAATCAAAATTCGAACTTGAGATGGATTTGAAAATCATGAGACTTACGTAAGCTCATCAACAATTGGTTCTCCAAGTTCCAGTGCACTTGCAACATTTGATGTAGAAACATAATGAATATTATAATCTTGATTTGATAATTTCGTAGGTAGACCACTCAGAGTATAATAGAATGACATATGACTGTTATACTTTTTTGATTGATTTCCTGATGTATCATCCGAGTACAAGGTGATGGGAATGTGACGGATTAATCGTCCGTTAGCTTTTGATCTCCACGGATTTTCGATGGGAATTGGAAGCAATGTGGTTGCAGTTGATTCTAAAAAGAGTGAAAACAAATTACATTAGAATACGTCTGATTCCATTAACAGATTATAAATACATACGATACATAGATGATCCACATAGATCTCTAAGCTTTCTCCCATCTGGTAGATATACCATAGAAATTGGACGCCAGAAATCATTTGCATTGACGGTGATAAGATTTTCCGAAGAGAAATCGGGTTCAGCATAAACAACCCTGGGCCAGCAACGCAGGTGTTGCGTGTTGCGCTGCGCCTGCGTTGCGGTTTTTCTGACCGCAGCGCAACATAGAATCAAATTCTAGGTTGCGGCCTGACCCGCAGCGCAACATCATTTGTCAAATTGATGGATTTTTTGGGCCGCAACAACATTTGTTGCGTTGCTGCCCAAAAAAAATCACAGTTCGGCGTTTTTTTGGCGCTGTTGCGCCTGTTGTGTTGCGCGACGGTCAAGGCGCCGCGCAACCTGACCTCACCATTTGTTGTTGCGGTACTTACCGCAGCGCAGCATGTAATGCAGGTTTGTGCTGCGTGTTGCGGAGCAACGCACCAAAAAACACTCGTGTTGCGGTGTGTTGCGTTGCTGGCACAGGGTTGGCATAAATACAGATATCAAGACCTTGTGTAACTGAGTTGTTGTAGATGTTTGTGGTTAGACACTTTGAAAGAAGATTATCCCCGTCTGTGTAAAAAAAAATTGGAACAAAAAGCTCGAATACAGCAGATGAGAGAAGTTGAACGGGTTCGTAGATATAAAAATGACCGTGTTGAGTTTCAATCATAGGTGTTCGTAATTCTTTTTTGATCCCCTCTCGCCACTTTTTAGATTGAGAAAGTCTATTTATTGGTTCATTTGTAGAAAGTTCAGGAATTGTAATCAAATGCGGTCTAATGTCTGGATTGGCCAAGTTCTAGAAAAACAAACAAAATCAGTTGTGCGGTTTTGTCATTATCAAGAATTAATTTATAATTACCAGAGTAATTCCTTCTTTAATTGGTAATGTGAAGCATGGAGTACCTAACACACTCCGAGTATTTGTAACAGTTAAGCCCATCTTTTCTTTAAGACTCTTTCGCAAACTTTGCAATGTTTTCCAGGTAGGAAGATAAATTGCACAGATAGTTAAAATTTCCCTAATCTTCTCATATAGTAATCGAGAAAGTACACTGCGAGTAGAACCTATGATCAACATCGCAACAAGGTGCTTCAATAAAAAAACATATCTCAGCATTTGAAAACTCAAAACAAACAAAAAAGTACGAGGTTTCAAGATAAGGAGAAGGAGATGAGGAATTTCAAAGCACCTCCTTCTTTTTAAATGGGTACCACTCATCAGATTCAGATTCATCTTTATTTAAATCACCATCATCATCATTGTACACAATCTCATCTTCCTGTTCTTCAAATCTGGGCTCTTGAGGAGCTACATCATCCTCATCCTCATTGTCTTGCCTGACTCCAAGGTTGTAGATAGCATCCCAGATCAAATCTGGCCTTTCTTGAACAACCTCCTCAACCTCAATACGAGCATTGGCTGGGGTTTCAAAGAGGGCCGAGTCATCCTGATTCCAAATGTTTGTTTCATCCGAGTGAGTTCCAATTCCGTCATCCGGTGGATCGTCTTCGTCCCCGCCGTCGCCGCTCGTCCAATTCATTGCATTAACTGCGCCCAATCCTGATCCGGAAGCTAGAGAAGGATTCGGTAAGTTCATCACAATTTTGTCCATTTCCCGATTAGCCACTTTGTCCTTGTGAGTTTGGCTTTCGGAATGCTTAATGTAAGACGCGAAGGGCTTCCGTCCGCAGAGTGTACATGTGTATAAAGGATACGATGGCCTGTCGGAGACTGAGCAAAAATCTGCAAACAAAAGCTCAGCCTTTGCGCTCAAGTATCGAGGGCGATATCACTTACATTCCGCCACGAGCGGTGGCTCTCCCGGTGCAGACATCACGAAACGAGGCCACGAAGACGATAAGAAATTTGATTTGTTTCGACTAGACCTTTGCAGATGTATGATTGTTTAAATCGATGGCAATTGATAGTAATAGTAAGTCCGATCAAGGACGTGAGTTTAGCCGCAGGTTAAACCCCTTCTCCATCTGGATTTTTGCTTGTCAAACTTTGCTGCTGTTCAAACAGCGACTTACACTCGATTTCCTTTCAACTTTTCGTCTCACCGTCTCTCCTTTTTTATTTTTTTACTCAAGGCAAAATTAATCCCACTCATTTGGTTTGACCTGCCCAAAAAAAATCGAGCCCCTTTTGACTGGATTTATCGCGGTTTTATTGAGCCTATTCTCAGGCTTGCACAACCTTCACTTGTGCCATCAATCCATGTTGGCACGAGTGGATGGCCATCGACACTGCCAGCATTAAAGAGGTTCCCAGATGGGAATACGGGTCCTAGTGATCAGATTCCCATTCTGCTACTGTTACACAGTTCCATGAATATTTCCTGAGTAGCCATTGTGATATATGTAGTCAATATTTTGAAATGTGCGTCTCAATCTGAACAAAGTTACAGCATGTATTACACATGATTTTCTTATCTAGATGAGCAGATAGCTGAGCGGACCTGTATGTAGCTGATAGCTAAGGATTTACTCAGATGTTTGCACATATGTAGTGTATGCTTTATGGCTCAGATGTGCAGTGCAAGATGATTTGATTCTCCATTCTTCTCTCAATGATATTCCCAGCCTAGGTCATGTTCCGACCAGGGAACCTATTTAATGCTGGCAGTGCGAGTCTGGCCAGTGAACTCGATGGCCATCTTTCGGCCGTATTCTATACGGTCTTTTGGCCATCTTCTTGAACATTAGAAGATGGCCAAAAGACCGGTTTTTGGCGGTATTGTGCTCGCCCCAAGGCTGGTCGATCTCTCGCCAGACCGACCAGCCAGCCTACCAGCTGATATCTGGCCGAGATTCCAGCGTTCGACCAGATATCAGCTGGTATCTTCTGACCGGCCGATATCTGGTTGAACGCTGGAATTTCGGCCAGCGTTCGGCCATATCTCGACACAACCATCTTTTTGCTGAGATTCCAACGAAGAGTTACCCCCTGGTGTACTTGTTCAATATCTGAGCAAGGAGGCACGCGTGTTCTGTTCGTTTCGTGCATAGGGCATGTTCGTTTCGTGCATGGAACGCATCCTCAGACACCGACGTGAGAACAAAAAGCACATGTCTGGAGACTGGGCAGGACTTGGATATGGGTTTAGGGAAGGCAGTTTCCCCCTTCTCTCCATCCGTGAGACAAAATCACAAGTTGTCCGGTTCAACAGGCGATTTCCGTTTTCATCCTTACCGTCAACACAAGCCATCTGCCCTCAAAAGACAGAGTCAAATCTTTGGGTCAACACTATTCACCTAGTCACTGTTTTTTTGTGGTGGTGATAATAATGAGAAAGAAGCGAAAACGGAAAAGAGAGAAAGGACAAAGATTGGATGTGAGCAAGCAGGCAGAGTTTACAAAGGCTACCACGTATCCGATGTTTGTTGAGATCATGGGTTAAGGAAAATTATCTTGTCTTGGGCCTTCTGTTCGTTTCAGCGTAGACCTCTGATTGTTACCTGTCCACAGAGGCTCCGAGCCACTGTTTGAATTCAATGAAATAAATTAACAATTCGAACACGGTCCAAGTGTAATTCGAACACGATTTTTCTCAACTTGAGGACCCCTAATTGTTGATTTATTTTTTCAAAAATTCACTCCCATGCAAAACTCATTGTTTTGGTTTTATGGAGTTTCTCTTCTTTTCACGATCCTCCCATGAAGCTCATGTGTCCTGGTGACCATTCATCTGTATGTAGATCTTTTGCAATATATGTGCCAAGTCCTCTATGATATTTGACTTTCATGCCTAGCGGTGAGGACATTCCTTTCTCATCTGTTAGTAAGATTTGACATAGCTACTACATGGCCAACATGCACCTCAGGTGCAGTTAAATTGATTCTAAAGAAACATGGCAAAACCAGTCAGACCATCCGCAATTGTCGGGTTAAAGTCAAGGGAATAGCCAAGCTTAACAAAGTCCAATTGTTTTGAACTTCAAAAAAACAACAACTCCATAATCACAATGTAATAGTGTTGAGATTCAAAACCTTTGTAGCCATACACCAGGTGGCAAGCAAACTCAAAAGGTCACAAGGATTTAATGTCTATGGGTGATTATTGAAATTGAATACCATCGATGATCGAGTAGGATTTTCAATAGACAGAACAAGTTTTGTGTACAACGTCAGGGTAGCTTATGCTTAGCTTAGCAGCAGCTTGATCTGAAGTTGTGTGAAGATCTGAGCCATGTGGAATGAGAACTGAAGCGCCCTGATAGTACCGAAAAAAGATGGATGATGAGCAAAAGTAAGCGCAGTGGTATGAAGTTTATCATTAAGAGCTTTACTCACATCTCCTGGGCACTTTGCTAGAAGAGCAGTCAACTCGGTTTGTACTGTGGCTGCATCACTGAAACGTATGATAAAAGTGTAATCACGCTTGTTAGTGCTCGCAACTTAGTCGTGATTGGTAGCGATTGTGAGATTCTCAAAGATAGAGACTTACACGTTCAATGCTCCGTGGTTCATGGTCACAATATCAACCTAATTAGGGAGAGCCAGGCCATCTTAGTTATTGGATATCAATATCATCTTGGACGCATAAAGGATCAAAATAAACTTACCTTGCATGTACCACAAGTGAGTTGATAAGCTGATTCATCACGAACAATTCTACCATTTTTCTCATCAGGTTTAAGTAAATCCAAAGCACTAAAAATGACATGATCAAAATCAGAAATATCAGTTAAGAAATCAAACTTGACTGAAGTTTAAAAAATGAATTTGGACTGAATGATTTCTCTTGTCTTTTAAGATAGGAGAAGGAAATTGTTGGATTGAGGAAAAAAACCCACTTTTGGCAAGACGTAGCGTTGATCATTGTAGTGACATTTTGGCATTGAATATCAAATTCTGCTCGTGCGATTGAAATCATAGCAGCAAGTGCCAGAACAACGAATCTTTGAAGGTTCAACATTGTAGATAAAGAGTTTGACTGGAAGGATTGAAGGAATTTGAAGATTGTAAAAAAAGTTGATGAATGATGTGAAGATGAAGAGATGAAGAGGACCAGAGTTTTTATATGCAAAGTTCTCCAGCTTACATAGGGCCGTTGGTAAGTAGTGAGTGTGGCGCCCATGTTTTAGACATCCGTGGCTGTACACAGCCACTGTAGCCACCGATCCTTCATGGAGAAGGATGCAGTGGATTCAGAAGTAAATGACCCACATGAGGTATAACCGGCCGAACAAGTTTGAGGATGGATGGATGAGAACATTGAGAAGGGCGCTTGCAAAATCATGTGCTCTCAGGCCTTAAATGATCTTCCCGGTGCATAGCTTTCTTTTCTTCTTGAGATCGCTCCTTGGAGTTAGAGCGACTTTTCCGGCGAGCACTTCAAAGCTCTTCATATAGTCAACATGCTCCTTCACTACGTTATGCCTACAGGTTTAGAACATAGACAGGACGTAAAATTGTAGCAATCTTTTCTTGTCATGTTGTCAAATACATTGTTGATGAGAAGAAAAGAGGACATGTGAAGGCAAAAGACATAGAATGCCAATTTACTACATCCTCAATTGTCGACATCAGATCAGGACAAAGTTGAGAGTTGTACACCAAAATGATTCTGTTGTTTCCTTTTTCTTGCAATGTTATAAATATCATGTTCCACACGTAGCGCTGTGATTTGAGGGATGCATGTCCAGTGAACCGTTTCTTCTCTGTCGTCTTCCAGGTCTCTTCAGGAAAAATACCAATGTTTCATCCAAATCTTTCTTCTTCTCATGAAAAAAGGAAAATATCTCTTTCAATCCTCTGGACCAAAGAATCTCTCATAAATCCAAGAACCAGAAGCACTCGAAAGGCTTTAAGAGTTAAAGAATTTTTGAAATTTTTCATCTAGCTAAAGGGTTTTTTAAAGTTTAACATCTAAACTAAATCCAAAAAAAAGATGAAACCAAGGGAAACAAAAACCAAAAGAAACAACCTCTTTTCTTTTTTCATCACGTCTATATATTAGGAGATTTGAAAATCAACCAACTAAAAAAAGAAACCCTTTTCAAGTTCGGTATTGTGTTGGTAAGTAAATAAAAAGATGAAGGAAAAGAAGAATATGAAAAAAGGTAATCAAAGAAGCAAACAAACATCAAAAAAACTGGAAGACATCAAAAATTTTTCGTCGAAATGCAATATACGAGAAAAGTAAAACCTCTTCAAGATTGAAGTTTCAAAATTTTTGACGGGTGTTGTCAATTGTTTATTTTGGGTTTTTGTTTACTTGGGTAAGTAATTCTCAAAAAAGATTATGATGATAACTCACAACAATAAACAAACAATAAACAATCACTTTTTTTAGGAAATAGAGTTGAACAAAAAACAAAAACGGAGGTACGCTCCGCTTTTCTTTCTGTATACAGGGTAGTAGTGATAATCGAAGGCCTTAAATGAGATCAGCAACGTTGAGTGGCATCTATGAAACAACATTGATTTGTACAGGATCAGTTTCATGGTCGTCGATAGTGTGCGAGGAGCAGAAAAGCGGACCTCATCAATTTGAGTGTTGTAAAATCGTTCAAGCTCTCGTAGGGCTGCTACGTCTTCAGAAGACACGAAGTTGATAGCCACACCCTTTCGTCCGAAACGTCCACCACGACCGATACGATGGATGTAGCTTTATAATGCAAATTCAAGAAGTCAGCACGGTCGCGGTTCTAGGAGATTGTAACGGAAGGAAGAACCAACTTTTCTTTGGAGACTGGCAAGTCATAGTTGATAACCAATGAGACTTGCTGAACATCAATACCACGGGCCAACAGGTCGGTGGTGATCAAAACTCGGGATGATCCTGATCGGAATTCCTTCATGATCACTTCTCTCTGTCCTTGTTCCATGTCACCGTGCCTATGATGAGGGAGATTAACAAAGTAAGCGATGGAGGCAAAGATGAGGAAAAGGGCGAGACATACATTGAAGAAACGGTGAACTCCCGTCCAGTGAGCTTCTCTTGAAGCCAGTCAACTATACAGCACCAAACGTCGAGTATTCAAAATTAGCAAACGATCAAGAAGATCCAGAGAGTTCTCGACAGACCTTTTCTACGGGTGTTACAGAAGATCACAGCCTGGGTGATGGTGACAGTCTCGTACAAGTCACACAATGTGTCGAGTTTCCATTCTTCCTTCTCAACAGCAATGTAGAATTGCTTAATACCTTCCAAGGTCAACTCATCACGTTTCACAAGGATCCGGATCGGTTCCCTCATGAATTTTGAAGTGACCTCCAAGACATCTTGAGGCATAGTAGCACTGAGCAAGACGACTTGGGTGGTAGGAGGTAAGAGTTGGAAGACATCGTAGATCTGGTCTTTGAAACCTCTGCTCAACATCTCATCGGCTTCATCAAGTGTGAAGATCTTGATGTGGTCGGTCTTGAGAGCTCGTCGCTGGATCATGTCATAAACACGACCAGGTGTACCGACGATCACGTGAACACCTTCTTGTAGCTTGGCCATTCCCTCTCGAACGGATGTACCACCGACAGCGGCGTAACACTCGATGTTGAGGTAGTCACCTAGAGCGACCAAGACCTGGATAAAGATGGGATGGGTGGTCAATCGGAAAGATAATGATCGACGGCCACAAAATTTCGACATACTTTTTGGATTTGTTGAGCCAGCTCACGGGTAGGAGCGAGGACGAGAGCTTGGCATGCTTTGATGTTAACGTCAATAGACTGAAGGATGGAGATTGAGAATGTAGCAGTTTTCCCGGTTCCAGATTGAGCTTGGGCAATGACATCGTGACCCTTGATGACAGGGATGATAGCACGCTGTTGAATAGCAGAAGGTCGTTCGAAACCGTAGGCATAGATACCTCGGAGAAGTTCGGCTTTGAGTTCCATTGCGTCGAAATTACTGGAAAGAGAAAAGTAGAAAGATTAGTACAAGCTAGATACCGGTGAGATCGGAGGAAAATTAAGGATCAGCTTACTCGACCACCTGGTCCCAGTTGGACTCGATGACCATTTCTTCGGCACCTCCTTCATCGACAATGGTAGTGGTATCGGGTCTGATGGAAAAGTCAAGGTGAGTAAACGGTCATGAAGAGAAAAAAGAGACAACTTACTGAGTAGTAGCCATGATGGGTTGTTTTTTTTGATGAGTTTTTCAAGGTATTACTTGATGAGTTAGTTCTATGAGAAAGTAGAAGATATCAAGGGAGGTTAGTTCTCGCTGAAGTCAGGGGGGGATGATATGATATCGCTGTTTACTTTTCGAATCGATTGGATTGGATGTGAATTTAATCAGAAATGGTAAAGTGGATGTCCTTTGGTTTATGGGACAAAGTTTTCACTGCATACAGTCAAATAAGATGAAACCAGTGTGAATTTGGTAGTTTTGGTGGATGACTCTGAGTGAGTTTTTGCCTTTTACAGTTAAATTTAGTAGGTTTCCAAATCAGACCACACTCTATGACGGGTTTGATCTCGGGTCTCAACTCGGCCTGCGTTTTACAAATTCGATACAAGAGAGTGGCCAGATGGTGGTTTGATAAATTTTTCAGTCGCCTTACACAAACAATTCCCTTTTGCGACAGGTCAGAATCTTGCCACAAAACATCACTATCACACGAAATGCGCTACGAATTATGTATGTAACTCATTGTGCCGCAGCTGTACCGGATTCGAACGGAGAGCCCCCGAAGGCTGCCGATGAGTCTCTCCGGTTCTCAACGGTTGCACCGATGTCATGGAATGAGACAAGAGTGGCAATTGCACTTTTGGGATTTTTTCGAGGTTGACAAGTACGATGGACGAGAGAGGAGGGTGGAGGACAAACCTCAAAACCCGAAACACAAACCTGTATTGCCCTGTACAGATACTCGATTTTCGAGTAGGTCTGATCAAACCTCGCCAAAACGTCGTAGAAACAATCCAGATCACTCAACAAGTTTTGCAAAAACCCAACAAACATCCAGGAATCAAGTACAAGTTTAATTGATTTGAGTTTATAATCGAAGACATCAAAAGTTTTGTCTTTTGACCAGATCAGGAGAGCAAGGCATGAAATTCACTACTTCAAATGCAATTAGTCTCTTGGGTTGGATTTCTGTTTCTGAGTCTGTTTCTGATCTTTGTTTCGACATCAATGTTGAATTTTCAAATTGGATATTTGGTATCATTGCACAAGAAGGAAACTGAACATCTATCAGATGTTAACTTAACAAAGTCCCTCTCGCGGCTGTTTGTCTGTTGAGTGAAATGTGTTGTTCACCAAGTCAGTCAGAATGCTTTGATTTTGGAAAGGTGAGACAAAAATTGATTGAGATTTGTCTGTGATGTTGAAAGAGTGTATATTTCAAAGCAAATCTTTTTGTTTGATAAAAAGGTCAAAAGAAACCATAGTTAAATCGTGAGTTTAATTCATTCTAGATGATTTAAAAACTTGCTCGTTATCATGATGTGATGATGAAACTGTATCTCAATTGGGAGCCGTCTGGAATCGTCTCTGGCTTCGTCTGGATTGTTTCTACGACGTTTGGCGAGGTTTGATCAGAGCTACTCAAAAATCGAGTATCTGTACAGGGCAATACAGGTTTGTGTTTCGGGTTTTGAGGTTTGTCCTCCACCCTCCTCTCTCGTCCATCGTAGACAAGGGTTGACGTCACTTATCACTTTGCGGGGGTCATCATCCGTTTTGGATCTCCGAAGCTTTGTTACCTATCTCAGCAAGGAGGTTGAGATTTTATCTTTGAATACCAATAGAGCACCTCTGAGCACCTCTATCTATTCAGCATTTCCAAACTCATTCCATTCGAGAATCATAAATCCTGGATGTTCACATGAAGAGCAATTTGGGCGACAGGGCGACGACCGGAATATATTCTTCGACAAGTCTTTTGCCTACGTTTGCAATTTATTTTCAAGGGAATATGTACGCTATCTCCACATGCAAATGCTAGACCTTGTGGCAGGTCAGGGCAATTTTCTGTAGGAAAACTCATCGTGTGTTTATGCTGCCTTCTTGACTGTGGGGATTGTTCAACTTGATCAACAACCAGAAAAGAAGATGATCCAACGGGCAGAAGAGCAATTAACATTACAAACCGGAGTTTCATTTATTCATTAGTAATATTGGCCAACCTTTCAAATTCAACTTCAAGAAAACTCCATACGTGATGTGAATGACGGGAACAAGAGAACAACCTATGACCGGGGTTCCAAGTCATGATAGCCTAACAAAGAGTCTTCGTGTCTCCTTACATATGTTTTGTGTGTTAGTGCAACAAACCTTTTCTCTCAGAATTGCTTCCAAGATGGCTTGCGGGTTGCTGCAAGGTATCACACCTGGTCCTGACAATGATGTAGGTATGTAGCAGGTATATATTACACCATGTGAAATTCCTTGTAGCATGTCAACGTGCACACACGACAAGATTTGAAAAAAAGGAATAACATTTTGTTGAACTCAGTGTGCGCAAAGCAGCTCAGACCTGCATATCTGTCTCACAAAGGGCTTGCTTTCTGAGCACCTGGACAAAGGGATAGTCTTCGGATCCAAAGACCTGTTCAAAGGGAAAGTCTTCGGATCCAAAGAGCTGTTTGAAGCTTCTATCCTTCCTTTATGACTTTTGTTTTGTGTGTGCATGTCGACGTGCTACCAAGAAATTTACACGGTGTTGACTACATTAGGGGTTTAGATTACACATTTTTCTTTATTGGTCTTTCTGCTTTATCAGTTGCTTTCTATGTTATCAGGGGTGTTTTGATCTGATGCTCTCATTGACTTTGGTATGGGTTCCTTTGTTTGAGTTTCACTTTTCATGGTTAGTTTTCTTTCTGCTTCATCAGTCTCTTTCTCTCTTATTGGGGTTGTTGTGATCTAAAGTTCTTAACAAATTATGTAGGCATAGTTTTGCAATCTGTTTCAGGCAATAGATAACTCTTGTGCATTTGTAGTGCTTTTCCTGCTCTAGGCGCTTCCACTGCCAGTTGGTACAGTGTATGAAGCTCCTTCCCCCTTTACAAGATAATTCAACTCAATTGTGATGGAAACCAAGACCATGGAAGCAATTGTATTATCCACAATTCTCATTTTTTTGGGTACTGTTGGGATTGCAGCAGCTTGTGACTACCTGTTTTGCATCTTAAGTAACCTCTCTATTGAAGCAAGTACAAATGGGGCACATGATGCCAAAATCACATCTCGGTCTATCAAAAATACACATCAACATGTGAAACTCTAAGATAAACCAGCAAAAAAGCATAATATTTGGATCTATAGTCCGGAGCCCAGCAGGCAATCTCTTAAACCCCATCTCTTAGAGCACCCACTATCATGAGGGTGATCTATCGTAAATTTTGTGTTCCCAAGCGCGAAATTTGATCATGCGTGTTTTACCAAAGATGGTAACCGCATGAAATCCACTATCGGATGATTTACTGTCTGCTCTATCTGGTTCCTACGATAAATCAGGGTTTAAGCTTTTGTAGATTTGAACAAGCGCGACACAAAATTTGACGCAGTTGTAGGGACCGCAAGTGTAAAACAGGCCCATAGTGGACCTGTGTGTAATTTAGCGGTAAAGCTACAATAAATCACCTTGTTACCGCAACCATAGTGGGTGCTCTTAGTGCCATATCATGTACTCTCATGTTGGGTTATCTATCTTACCACATGTGCTAAGTGTTATTTCTCATCTGGTTATGGTTATGTGATATGTGTGAAGAAAGAAATGGTTTACAATTTAATCTTGCTCAAATTGTCAAGAACTTCAGGTTATTGTGAAGGATCAAGAGATTTAATTAATGATTGTTATGGAAGGAGTATGGTTTGGTAAATGGGTTTGTGTTATGTTTCTGTTTTGGAATAGGCCGTGTGTGGCCTGCGTAGTTATAATGTATGTCCGTGTCAATATGTGTGTTTGATTTCCCTATATATAGACATCTACTGTAGCTCTCAGTTTCTTTCCTCATCGGGAAGAAACTGTAAGTCTTTTTGCTTTCTATTATCTTTTATTGATACTTGCTCTTAAATCTAACTGCTGGTTATTTAGTTTTACATTCTTACTCACACTCTTCCAAACTCAACTCTGTCCATCTACCCTGTTGCTTTACGCACAGGTTTGTCCTACCATTTCTCTCTTATCTTTCGTTTTCACTTTACTAATCTGTAGCGTGTGTTAAGTGTGTTTAGCTGTTCAAAGCTTTGTTAGGCTTGTGCCGTACTTATCTTGCACCTGTTACCCCAGGTTAGTATCTATGCTTTTGATCAGAAAGAAACTTTTTACATTCTTACTTACACTCTTCCAAACTCGACTCTGTCCATCAACCCTGTTGCTTTACGCACAGGTGTGTTTTCTCTTTTTGATAGCTGTTTGAAGCTTTGTTAGGCTTGTGCCGTACTTATCTTGCACCTGTTACCCCAGGTGTCTATCTTTCATACGGCAAAGCCCACCTTTGAGCGCTCTCTACAAACCTTTGAATTCCAAACTTCTCATCTCACACTCTATGTATCGCAGTTGAAACAGCCAACATCAACCTTTCCCCTGACACAGCCAGAGTGGTTTTACCAGTGCAGGAAATATATGCAGTGTCTAATAGCCATAAGGCTCTAATTCCACTTAAAGCAATGCAAAAAAATGGACTGGCTCCTTGCTCAAAGCTCTGCCCACGCCCCTAACCACTTGGGTACCCAATTGATTGGGGGCTAATCCATCATCCCAAGCCCATGCACCGCGGTTTGGGGACCCTGGTCCCTGGGCTCTCAGGTTGTGGGTGCGGTGCAGAAAGCGTGCCTTTGGCGCGCTGATTCATGTCTGCGCTGTGGCGTGCCCAGGCGTTGGAGAAATTGACAAAATCAGGGTTGGCATGCCTTTTCAAGAATCACACCAAATCTTAGGAATTCCATGTCCTGTCACCAATATTGGAGACTTGGAGACTTGCTGTGAGCTTTGATGTCAGCTCTTTTTAGCTTTTTTCACCTTTAAAAGGCAATTATGCTGTGGTAAAGCTCTAGCAATACAAACATAGAATAAGTAACAATACAAAAACAATATTCTGGGATTTTCTGGCTTTTGGCGCTTTTGTTTGTAAGAAAACACGCCCGGCGCGCCGAGTGGCGCTTGGGCGCACCAAAGCCGAAAAAAATGAGCACGCCCACAACCTGACTGGGCTCAGCCTGAAGATTCTGCATGATCGCTACATAGTGGCAAAAAGCATGAAATGTCGGAAAACAAGAAGCTGAAATATTCAATTTTCAACAAGATATCTGCATTGCCATCAATGCCAGAAACTCCCAGATTGGCTGAGTTTGAGGCACAGCGTCAATTTGTCAGAGAAAAACTTGCCGGTCCGACATTTTACGCTTATCGACACTAGCGACTATGCTACAAGATACATAGAAAGATCGAGTTTTGAGAGGAGGGATGCCGCGCTTTCAGCTTTCAGTGGCTGAGCGAGACTAGGTGGGGAACGCCGGGTAATCCAGTACATATATACTTCTTGAATCTGAAGTGGATACTTACGTGGCGAATGCTGCGATGCTGCTTTACATACTTTAAGTTTGGATGAACTGATTCGTCGGCTTATTGGTGATGGGTGTCATCTCATGGAGGCCTGTTTGTGAAGGTAAATGTGGATCGTTTTTGATAATTCTGAAACTTCAAGCTTCCATTAAAAGAGGGCGACTCTCACAGATAGTCTTTGTCCCTCCAACCCTTCAATACGGACCCTGCGAAAACAGCAGACAAAATGATGTCGTTTTTTTCCGCTTTTTTGCTCGTATTACATGCCACTCCGTCTCTACTTGTTCAATGTGGTCTGACCCCCTGGGCCTCCAGAGACATCGGTTACACAAAAACCTCCGCTCGAAGTCTTTTCGTACCCCAATTAGTCGACAAATCCGGTTTTGTACCAGATTGTACTCCTTCGGGTCCAGTTGGTTCCACCCATGATGTCAACAAACTCTCATCACCAATCGCGATCACGCCATACGCAGCTTTCTTTCGCAAAAGTGAAGCGGTGAAGGCGGCTACTAAAAATGAGCTCGTAAAACGTTCAGCCGATAAGATGATGTCACTGGTCTCGACCGTGCTCCCCACCCCAGAGCTATGGGGTGGTTGGATTGAACGTAATGGATGCGCGGTCGACGACTTTATCGAATTGGCTGCTGAAGCCCTTGACTCAGATGTGAGTTGTAATGAAAAAGAAAGAGCTTGGATTGTGGGAATCTTGGCTGCAATTTCAATTTATGTGCCTTCAAATGAGCATCAAATTGCAGGAGGCAAAATGGGAAAGACGTCTTGGAGTAACCAAGTGATTTTAGAGATACAAGCTCATAAGGGTCAGTCATTAAAATGCACAAAGAGTGTTCCATTGACCTGCTGATCTGTGTACATTCTGTTGAAACTGTAGAATTTGAAGTATCTATGACAAGTAGATTTGAGGCACTTTGGCTCCAGGAAGAGCACAATCCACTACTCGGGATAAGTGATCGTGAGCCGCTTTTTATTACCCAGTGGATAAAAGAGGAAATATTAAGCTTAAAACGTGTGTGTAGAGCTGGAAGAGGTCTTAGAGAGGGCCAAGTTATTTGGCATGTATGACTTGAAGAAACCAAAAAATATGCCCCGCAACAAGGTCTCGATTTTTGGATTCATCTCAAAACACCTATTGGAAGTAAACCTTCCCAAAGAGGAAGAAGAGTTGTTGGGTTTCATCAACGAATTCAAGAACCTGTTCATGAACATGGACCTAACAGGATGGGAGGGTCAATATGCAGAGGTCATCTTTAGGCATGTACTGGATCATTCATCTAAAGTTCGAAGAATCTTTCACAGCCTTCTTCAAGATTATAGATTTTTCAGAGAAATTCATTTTCCTTTTGCCAAAAAAGACTTGGTCAACAACCCGGAAAACAAATTCCTACCCTATGCTTCTACGACCTTGAAGAGTTATGACGAAAAGAAATGTCGGGAAAGCAAGAAGAAACAAATTTGGTACATGATAGAACAGATGAATAAAGCTATGAAGCCAGAGCTCTCTAAAGAATACTATGCAGGTCAATACCAGCTTATAGCTGCGTACTGTCTTATTTTCCCCAGTGAAGAGGAACATCTGAGAGATGAAAGTAATAAGTATGATCTGAATTGCAAAGTTTTGGAACACTGGAAACATATTCTACTAATGTCTTACCCTAGTGGATTTGTGCCAGATTCCAAGTTTGGTGAATACCAATGGATGCTTCTGTTGAGAGGTGTGTAAAATGCCTTTTTTCTCATTGTCTGATTACCTTCTCATGCTGGTTATTACTGTAAAATTTTAGACCCATCTTATCTTGGGGAGACAAGAATGGATCAGACAATCAACAAGATAAGACAATTGGGTAATCCAGTATTCAGATTTTTGGCTTACTTTCCATCCAACCATATAAGGCATCAATTTCAGTCTCCATATGCAGATTCCTACTACAATATATGTTTTGAAGTTCTACAACAGACTGGGGACAGAGATTTGGCAGAAAATGTCTGTGAATTAAGCCTACAATTCATACACAATCTCGTAAACTTTTGGCCAATGCCATTCTTGAAGAAGATGAAAGAATCTGACAACTATAGAAAAACCATTCAGAAAGCATCTGAACATGTCATAAATGCCAAAAAGGGGCTTGACAGTGATGTTGTTAACCATTTTGATGTGTTTCTGGATAAACTTGTGAATGTAAGTGATTACATCGGGTCCTTTGAGATTTCCCCTTAATTTCTAAGTTGATTGATTTTCCATAAATTTCCTGGTAGCTTGCACAAAACAAGAACTCTCTTGAAGATACAGATGGAACTAAACTAATTGTAAAGGCAGAAGAGCTGAGACCAGATTTCCACATATCAATTGGGGGAGAGCGCTTTAAATTCCAATTCAAGCAACCTGGAGATTCTAAAAAACCATAACGATAATCTGGTTTTCTTGGGAGTAACCACCCTGTAAAATTCTTCTTGCACTGTTGATGAATTTTGTTGTTGTTGCAATACTTGGAGATATGTTAATGGGGCTGTCTCTTTTCCATTTGTCTTCTTTTACTGCTAAGCTTCCAATGCCCTATGACAGTTGTTGGATGATTCAACCGTTTATTTTCAAGGATGAGATCAACATCTTCTCAAGAATTGACGCTCAGATTTGAGCTCGTTTTTGTCTCCTCATCTTTTTGGAATATTGTACATATCAATTTCAATGCATAGAGAGTGTGTTTCATCCGTCAACTTTTGAATCATTCCATCAAATCACAACTTACACCACAAAGATCACCACGACACAATGCAATCTTGTTGAGCTGTGTTTTATTTCAGGAGGAGCATCTGGTGTTCCTTTACCTAATCGTCAATGCACATCTCTGGAACTGTTTTGCCATGTCTCCAAAATTTAAATATATCGGTTTTAAACCTTCTTATTCGCACATCTTTTTACATCATATAGACTTAGAGTGCTGCCCCTCAAGCCAAGATGTTGCTTGGTAGACCCTCGTGCCTCGCCCGGCAAGTCTGGCAAGCCGCGATACGCCGGATCAATTTCTGGTCTCATCTCATTGTGATGAGTACCAGATTACACATCAAGATGAATTGTTTTCTACAAAACGTGAATAGATAAAGATTGCGCAACAGTATTGAACTGCAAGTTACTTGCTTATATTCCGCAATGTATCAAGGGTCGCCGTCTCGGATTGGCACTGTTTGTTTTTTCAAGGCTCAATTATTTCAATTTGAGCGATCACAGATCATTTTTGGTTTTAGGGACTATATACATATATGACAAAATCATCATCACAAAACACATTTAGCGATACGAACGGTAAGAGGAATTTGCGTCAGACGGATACCTAGAATTTGAAGAACCATAGGTATTGCGAGCGCTTGCGCCCATTGCAGAGTAGGAGCTTGACCTCGGACGCCCGTAGGAACTGGAACCATAGCAGGTCTGAGTACTTGATTGATATCCTGATGATTGATGGCCACTTCTCGACCTAGAAGACTCGCGCCTCGATGGTTCACCTCCCCCATGTCTTGCGTAGTCGAGATGGGAAAGACTCAAAGGAATGTAGTCCGGTTCGGGGTATGCACCAGAGAGCCCCGGACTAGGTTGAGCGGATCGTGACCTGTGACGTGATGAATTATCAGCATATTGGTGAGAAGAATATCCATACTCAGAGCGACGCGCTTCAGGGGGAAGCACAATCCCATTTTGATAAATAGCACCTTGGCGTCGCGGGTCGCGAGATCTCGAGGAGGTATGTATTTCAGATGAATAAGTTTGTGGTTGCGATGTAGGAGGAACTGGATACGGAGCCGGGTCTCTTAAAGAGCGCTCAGCAGTGTTGTAGAAGCTTGGTCCATTAAGGCCTGCATAAGGATTAGCTCTATCACGTGGGGCATCGTCAGCATATAGATCACTTGGAGCACCTCGACAAAAGAATGATTCTGAACTCGAAGAGGCACGTTCCTTTTTGAAGTAGTTGCGTAGGTTGGATGGCATGTTGTGGATATTCGAAGCGTCGCTGAGTTTTTAGATGTAAGGCTCTATAATAAGTGGTCGTTTAAAAGATATGTTATGATAGAAGGTTTGTCACAAACGTTGAATGATGGCGTGATGAGTGAAAACGTAGCCCATGATGGGAGATACTGATGACTTTATATAGTCTTTCATAATCAAAAGCTCACATCACAAAAAGTCTCAAGATAATCAGCAATCAAACTTTTGCATAGATGATGAACAGCCGAATTCAAATGCATCAGGATCCAGAAAGCACAGAGGAAGAAATCCGATGGCTGACCTTACTGAACTCTTAGGATCCAAAATGCCGTATAATCCGTTTAGTTCTTTTTCCAAAGAGCCGATATTTCAAAAGTCTGGCAGCTCAGGTTTGTTTGTGGTGCCTCGTGATCACGATCCAAGCTACGCAACTCTAGAACTTTTAATCCCTTCGTGATAACCGCCTGATTATTGCCGTACAAGCCAATGGATGCAGGTGTTAACAGGGTATGTAGTCTCAGTAAGAGAATGCTTCCTTGAGAAGATCCTACTCACCATAGTATGGCAAAGACATCGGTTCTTTCTAAGGAGGTAAGCCGGGCTTAAATCAAACAGAGACCATCGCATGGCCCTTGGAAAAGCTTGAAATCTCAAGCTGCTTAGAGGAGGAGGACGCGGCGAAATGTGAGCGATTATTTCGCGTCGCCGCTGACGTGTAATCCGCCCCAGTCGTAAATTGCAATCAGAGAGGACGAAAGGAGGACTACGACAGTTCTAACTTCGATGCGCCCTAGCTCGGACGATCACACATCATCGTGTTCACGTTGACGCGAACTTACGACGTCAGGAAGACAGCTTCTGTGGGTAAAGTTCCCAAAAGGAATGAGCTAGAGACTTGCCGCTTGAGCACCAGAAATTCGTTTTCTACAAATTCAGGATTTCCATTCATGGTACACGCGGTCTTTCGAGCGCGGCCGGGAATAGTTAAGCTGGTCAATATCTTGATTCCATTCGTCCCGGTGGTGATTGTGGCCAGAATAAGCGATTGAGTCTGTGATCTTATGAATTGAGGCACACAGGCGAAGAGTGTCAACATTTTAAAACCTTCGATAATTGGAATCACCCTTGCGATCTGATATATTTTGTTGACATTCGGCTGTGCATATCTCGGATGCCCGGTGAATTGGCCTTGGCCTTGTAGCTCTCGGGACGAAGCACTTGTGAAGGTCTAATCGTTCATCAAGCGCTGTTTCACTCGACCGTTTAATTGACTCGAATATCTGTGTTCTGGACTGATCCAGATCAGCAGTTTCAGTTTCAGTCTTGGTTCGTCATTCGTGTTAGTAACACCTTGAACTCACTCAGTTTCTGTTTCTTTTCTGATGTAATTAACCGTTATTAAACCTGAAGGAATATCATGACTTCAGCAAGCTGCCTGGAATTCCTGATCCGATTTTCACACCGAAACAAAGTTTTCATTTTCACGCCAAAACTGAACATTAGAGACCTCCAGCCCTCCCAGTCTTATAGGCCAGAATTCTATACTTTATCATTCAAACCCCAATCCTTTCTTCTGTCATTTGATCCCTTCTTATCGATTATTTATTGAATTATGTCACGCCATACTTTCGCCTCCTGGGCAGTCCTGCTACTTCAGCTTTTCGCCAGTTCGTTGTTCCAAACATCAACATGCACCCATTTCCCTCCAAACGTAGCTTCTCTTCAGTCCCGCTCCGCCAATGAATCGAGCACTACTCCAAAACTCGTATTTGCTCATTTTATGTCAGTCGCCAGTTCAAAAGTATACCATTCTTGAGTTCAAAAAAATGACCGCTGTCACCATGAACTCCATCACTCGCTCGTTACATACCGTCTGGGAGTCTGACAAAACTTTTTTTTATTTGATCACCGATCAACATCAATAGTGTTGGTCTCACGATCAATTACACCCAAGACACCTGGAACAAAGACATTCAGTTAGCCGCTTCTCATAACATTGATGCGTTCGCCCTAAATGTCGGATTGCCATCCGATTGGCAACTGAATCAGGTCAGAGCAAACTCTGAAAAACTATCTGAACGCCTAACCTGCAATCCTTCGAGGAAGATGTTGATGTAGACTTCAACTTTGATAGGTCAAAAGCGCATTCGAAGCAGCTAAGAAAGTCAATACCGCATCTGGGTCACCTTTCAAGATGTTCCTATCTCTCGACAGTGAGCAATCTATGACACGTCTTCTCACCATGAGACGTATCTTATGACTAATGATGGAATACTAAATCCTCAGTGTCAGTGATCCAGTCGGCAAAAGATGTTACTTCTTGGGTTACTGCAATTTGCCCGCTGCCTGCACAATTGCGTAGGCTTCTCGCATCATTTTGTTTAAGATATATGTATTGCATTGCTAATGAAAAACACTTTGATAGTCATCAACTCTCGTCCCTTTGTATCGACATTTTCGGGTGAAGCCAACTTTTTGGGCGGCAAAAATCTATCTGACGGATGGAATCAAGCTTTAAAGGCACCACTGGCAGCTCTTAACCCTCCACTCAACGCACTCTTCATACCCGCTTGGTCAAGTTTAGATCCAACAACAGCTGTTAGCAATAACCCGGTGGTTGATGGAATCATGACCTGGCTTTCATGGTTTGTCCGATTTTATCAAGAGTATCAACCCTGTTGATTGATTTCTTACATGATGGGAAATTTGTCAGGCCTAGCGGAACTGAACAGATGGCAAATACCGTCGATGTCGCTTTTCAGAAGGACGCAAAAGCATCACAAAAAGTAAGCTTTTGTAACCGACGAAACTAATTATGAGCAGAAAAGGTAATGCAAATCATTTTCTGTGATATCAGCTTTACATGGCAGGCGTCAGCCCATGTTTTTTCACGCACTATAGCGATAAAAACTATTTATTCAAATCAGTGAGTCTGCATTTCATACAATTCCTTCAACCTAACATCGCCGGTCTGATCCATATTCTGTTCAGGACGACAATCTTTACATTACGCGCTGGAAGGAGTTGATTGACATGCAACCCCAACCCGACTTCATTGAAATCATCTCGTGGAATGACGTGGGTGAGAGTCACAACATAGCACCAATGCTAGGAACACGACCGGTCAATACCACTTGGATGTGAGTCATTTTCAAAGGTAGACATCAGCTAAGGAATTGAACGTGTCTATCATCTTTTTTGGAGTAGTGATGGGATAGATCACTCTGGATGGCTCAAGATGTCGGACTATTTTATTCAATGGTACAAGTCTGGAAGTCCACCCCAAATCAAAGAAGATGTTTTATATTTTAATTATCGCCCCCATTCGGTCACTGCTGTAGCATGTAGGTTCATGTCGTCTATCATATTCCCCTATCCCACTCTAACTCTTGTGCTTCTTCGCCACAGCATCGGATTCATTGCCATCACCAACGAACGCTTCGGCTTCTGTGGACGCAGTCTATGCCGCCGCCTTCTTGACACCGAATTCAAACGCTCGCGAAATTCAAATCACTGTTGGTGGTACCCAACACATGTTTTCGAACCTTTCAATGAGTACCTTTTCTACATTCACTGCACCATGGAGTGGAGATGGTGGAAATGTTCAGGTCTCCATTCTAGATGGAAATGGAAAGCAATTATTGAAAAAGACTGGAACCGTACCTATCAGCAATAAAATCAAGACCTATAACTTCAGTTCGTTTTAACCTCTGTCTTCGTATATTTACTCAACTTTACTCAATCTGACCAATTGAACTTTTTATCGCAGATTATGCCATGGAAACTCTCTCATCTCCTGCACCAACTTTTCGTCCCACTTCAATCAGATTTTCACAGTTTTCCTGGATTAAACAAATGGACTACTTTTCACTCAAAACTTCCTCTTTCATTGCAATCTTTGCCACTCTTTTTACTCTACTGTCATAAGAGTGATCAATGAAACGCTGTCTCTTAAATGTATTCTTTTTCATCAGAAGCAACCATTTCATGACAATCAATTTTTTAATGTATGGGTATCAACACCTTTGTAATATAAATCAGAACACTATTTCATATAATTTCACACTATATTTCACATCGTTTCACACTCTATTTTACAACATTCCACACTCTATTTGACTTCCTATGGACATCGATTGATGACATGAACTCCGATTTGATCATGACAACTATCAAGTGTTGAAAACATTGAGCCTACCTTGCCCATTCAGCACAAGAAATACTTCATTGAACAAGCATTTTTGAACTACTTACTGCCAGGAACCATGCCTCCGAAACCAAAGCCCCAATTGCTTATTGTCGGAGATCACTCAAAAAAGGTGTTCAACGACCCATGGTTTAGGAGCTGAAAATACATTTGTGAAACGGAAACAATTGCCACCCATGAAGACCTGATGTTTCCATATCCAAACCACAGCGACCTTGTTTGAAGTGCTTGGCACTGATTTCTTCGGAGAAGAGTCCTTTCGGGTAAGATTCAGCTATGTGACAGTGAAAGGAAAATGTCTATATCTTTACGGATGCTGCAAAAACAAACCTAATCAAAAACTTAGAAAAGTCATCTACTAACACAAAGAACTTCAAACTTCAGATTGTAACAACAAAAAGGAAATGATTGGCCTAAACTAAAAGATATTGAAGAAATCTCTATAATATGTAAAATGATTATTTAATTAGATAATCGTCTTCAAAACAAAGTCTGCCGAAAAAAATGATAGGTATTCCTCTTGATGATTCATGAAAAGGTCTTTAAGATGGATTTTGGGTTTATAATACAAAATGATTATATGCTTTTGATTAGAGTTAAGGTAGAGAGAAAGTGATCGATACCAAGAAAAAAATTAAGCAAGATAAAATTTCACCTTGCAAGAAATTTCAGAGTAGCAAATGTACCAGATAGTAAAATTTGAGCTGCTAAATCTACTAATGAAGTCAGTAGAGGAATTGCATATACATCGGGATCGTATCCCCATACCCACAGTTTATGAGATAATTGATGGGCTAATACCAATGACATCAAGCTCTACACGATATGCAATGCATCAGTCTTCGATATCAGTATGATTGTAGGAGAAGTGACTAACAGAAATGATAGCGCAGAAGGTAAATCCAAAGAAAAACTCAATGTTGAGTTCGACATAACCCCGTTTTCCAGCATAGGTAACCGACACAAGTAGCACCGAGACTGCGATTGTCATCAACACCGCTCCCACCTTCAAGCTCGGTTCAGAAGTTCGCGCGTGTAAGGCAGTAGAGATCCGGGAGACAAAGATGGTACCAATATTGCCACTTAATCCAGTCAAGAGCAGTACAACGATTGCATAACCATCATATGCATTCACAAATCGCTCCATGAGTAGACCCGTGATGGTAGAAATGAACATAGCAGTAAAGAGTGGTACCCAACCATTCTTTAAAAAATCTTGAACAAATCTATTCCTGAAAGTGATAGTAAAATGGAAACCAATCGAAATCAAAAGCACTGCTAGTACAATTGTAGATGCAAGTGTATGAACGTATCGGATGAGGGTTGAAGATGTCAGGCCAAGGAAACAAAGGGTTAGGAGGTCCCCCAAAGAGGCAGCAATAGGTGTAGAGATGTTATCTAGTTATATCAGAAGATCATGATCAATTTTTCCATCACATCAAGGTTTTAGTCATCTGATGTTGTTCAAGCTTACCTGGATTGATGCTCCACTGTCGGCAAAGAATGATCAACCCACACATCAATCCACCTAGCAACAAACTGTTCACGCTTGCCGCCAACATTCCAGCCGACAAGATTAGCAAGCATTCGTAGTACCCACCCTGCAAATCATTGTTCCAACCAGGTCCATTCAGTTTACCCGGCTTAAGTGGGATATGATCTATGCCAGGTAGGTTGTTACGCGAAAGAATACCAAGGACAAAAGCCATCATCGAGGCAAAGAAGGTCACAATGAGAGCTTGAACTTGAAGCAACGTAAGATTCCCCCAAATTAACTGGCGCCTACTACTAGGGTGATCTAGATCACCGATGTTCGCCTGATGTTCACAGGGAGTTAAGGGTATTAAATGAATCAGTTGGATACAACGTCCTGGTCTTGGAAGTATTAATGGATTGCAAGTGATAACTCACATTGGTACTGAGGCGTGCAGTAAGGTTCATTTCCAGATTTCCTTTCAAATTCATGAGGATCGGTAGAAGGATATAGAGTTCCGGAACTCGTACGAAAGCTGGCCATGTCTGAGCTGTCTCTAACAATTCGCCCGTCAGAGTACCACCTATGATGGAAAGCAGTAGCGAGGGTAGGGCTTGAGCTCCAAACTTCCAAACCGAGAAATCATTGATAGTGCCTAAAGGATCTTGTGAAGGGAGTGGTGAAGAGTGTGTTGAATTTCCTTCTTCGTCTCCTTTGTCAAGTAACGCTCGGTTCTCCTCCGCTGCAAGATCTTCGTGATTGCCACTGACTCGGCTCGTTTTGTGGAACTCGATGTGAGTAAGGGGTAGATTATCGGTATGATCCATAGACAGCGAGAGTTTCTTTTCTGTGATTAATGAAGATGAGCTTCTGTATGAATCAAAGGATGACATTTGGCCAAGAGTACTTGTTGTTTTGAAAAGCAGGGGTGAAGTGGCCAAGGACGAAAACGAAGTTGATAAAGTTGTACAAATTCAAATTCAGTCCTTCAATGTCATGCTCAGCATCCTCATCTCTCACACTTTACACTTTGCCTTTCGGGTCGTTCGATCTCAAATGAAAGCTAAAAAGGCAAATATTGTCAAGGACCAGGCGTTGGTAAGAGCTAGGAAGCCAAGAGTTGTTGGTGATAGTATATAGTTTGATCCTTTCGCCTCTCACTCTGGCACTTGGCTCAGCATCTGGCCCTGCTCCGAGGTCTTTGCCGCTACCCGAAGCCTGCCATCGGGGTGTCGGGTCGGCCCAGGACTCGGGAGCCGTGGACTGGTGATACGTATTTTATTGGGATCATCTCGAATTGGAGATACACCAGGCTCAATGTCTCCCTGCTGACCCCTTGCAAGATACAAAAGACATGTATGGAAGGCTTGATAAAAGAGCTATATAGCTCTTATCCCAATTTCAATGTACCAATATCAAAAACATAGGATATATTTGCTCTTTGACATTGAGAGGCCTGAAAATGTATCACCGAGTATCTCCCAGTCTATCTTTGTTGCTTTCTGGATATTACACAAGGGAAAAGGTTTTCAAAGATAGACAAGAATGGGACATATGCACTCAGAATTGTTGGACTGAATCCAAACAAAAACAAAATCTCAGTATAAGAGGATTTTATTAATGAAAGTATAGAGCTCTGATCCGCCGTATGGAATTTATCTAGCTTTGCTTCCATTCAGAGATACCACTTTTTTGTAGATTATATGAAATATTCCAAATGTTTCTTTTGAATCCTTCAAAGCAGTGTAAGTGCTCTCAAAATAGGCTGGCTCAACTTTTTTTATAGTTGGCTAGATAATAATTGTTTTTAAACTCATTGCTTATAGTTCTGAGAAGGAATTGGAGATTTCAGTTTCACATAAATTTTGTTCTACCCTTTCATATTGCTCAATGTTCATGTCTTCTGATGTCAAACGAGTAAATCCATTTCTTCCACTATCTGGATAACATTTTCAGAACCATACACAGCCAGATTATCCTCAGACATCATTTATGATTCAATTCCTGTTTTCAATCCATATATTAGAATCTTCAGGAGCTCTTCATTACTCTCATGCAAGTGGGGCTCGTATATAATTCTGTATGTATCATCAACATGAGCTTTTACTGGGTGGTTTCCTGAAAATCTTGCAAAGCATGAATTACATCCTAGGTACACTTCATGGCATGTCACTTCAGACTAGCTCTAAGAAAAAGGCTACGGGATTGAATTTGAAAGACTAGATTGGTGTAAATTTACTGTTATGCTTGGAAGAAGGTTGGACTGTCATCGATCATCTCATCAATTAATAGTCCAGAAATTTGGTGGCCACTTGAAGCCCACTCGCGGCCTGCCCCCCCGCGATTTTTGAGACTCGATTTCGAGGTGGATTTTGCTATAGAGATACAGGTTCGGAGATAAGTGTGCCTATAAAAATCTACTGGGATAGGTAAAGATAGTTTGTTGTAATCAGAAAATTGTGATACATGTTGATATTCACCAATGAGATTGGTGTCAAGCGACTCAAGGACAGGCTTACAGTTTAAAAGGGATTGAGAAGACTTCCAAACATTGAGAGTGGAAATCATAGGTTAGATAAAAGACGATCTTTGAGGTATGCACTCCTCCCATATTCTTCTTACCTGTGTATCTTCTCGTGCTCATCATGAGATGAGGTGGCTGTCAAACTGTCGAGAAAGCCTTATCAGTGGAACATCCATGCTTGACAACAGTACAAATTTCCAACAAAAGTATACAAAATAGTTACATCGTAGACGAAGAGGTTTCCTCTGCCTCGACTTCTCCGACCTCCTTTGTCGAGCTTTCCGCGATATGAGCATTTGATTCCAGATTCCTAGCGTTATTCAAATCAACTGTGGCCATGGCCACCATGGCCATTGCGGTTGGCTCATTTCTCCGTGTCAGTCGACTTCGCACATCCACCGCTCGCCCGACGCACAGACCGAATAGCGTGAAAGTTATGAAAAATAATTCTACCACGCGCATTTTGTGAAAGCTAATTTGGAGACTGGCTCGTGAATGAAAAATTTTGTGGATGGGGTTCAGCTTTGAAGGACCAGAGAGCCTCTTATATTTATATGCGCAGACTGAGCGAAATGAGCTCAAGGTGGGAGATACTAAAAAGCAAGGTTCTTTGCGTCAGATAGAAACTCCATTGGGCAACGATAAGCACATACATCATCTCATACCTGGGTGTCTTATCAGTCTTGGCCTTGATATGATGGCGTAAGAGATACAGCTCAAAAAGAGGCTAGGAATAAGTATCAGAGAGGATGGAGGAAGGCAAACCTGTAATATTCTGACAATCGCAGACTAGCAAAAGACGCGAAGTCTAGCTCATTATTTCCGACAGACTGAAAAACAATGATACAAGTGCCACGTACTCTGAAGCGTGAATAGTTTTGCAAGGTCGGCAACTAAACACCAAAATATATTTTCTCGTAAATGTGAAGTCCCGAAAGCGTGCCAAGAATCAAGCAGTTCAAAACTAGCTAGAACAAGATGAAAGATAAGAAATGATACAGGCCGGATATTGATTGCTTCTTCAGAAAAAGTATGTATGTATCGCAAACTTCAAATGTACGAGGAACGAGATTGGAATTAGCCAAGTTAGATTTTGAGAAAGCAATGGAAGCAAAACATATCATTTGTGTTTATTGGCTGTGTGTCATCTTAGAATGCGATGAGTCTCTTCAAATTAGATCGACGGGCAATGCCGATTCGCAGAACGTCTTCATTCGAAGCCACTCAGACGCGGCACGAGGTGCTGAAACCTGCCAGCAAGACTGCGGTCCCCAGCACAAGCCAACCTGCTCGCGACCATGTATGTACATCTCAACCGAAGTTACTCTTGAGCTGGGATGTGCGGCATTGACCTATTCTATGTAAAACTCGCCGGCCTCAACAAACTCAACAAACTCGATCAATTGTCAGTGTATTCAAAGCTAATCTCACCACTGTGAAACTCGGAAGCGAATCGCCGAACGAGCAAAACCTCAAGACGAAATCAGACCAATTTACCAGTTCTAATATAGGTGACGACGATACGCAGTTCGAACGGAAGGCCAGAGCCGTTCGCATATGTATATACAATATTGAGACTTGAGCAGCATCATGCTACACAGATGCCCAGTCACTACCCAGCACTGCCCCAACAAATATGCCACGGACGGAAACATTCTACGTGATCGATTCAGGCGGTGACTGCCGAGGACATCCCCACCTGAGCCGATCATGTTAGCAGTGGTGGTGGAGACAAATAACACGATCAATTTTGCGTGTGTTATAAGCGTAATCAACCAGCGATGGGCATAGCGTATCATCTAGGCAGCTACCAATCAAAACGTTCAAGACCTCTTGAGATAGGTAGCTCGTCACGGCACCATGTACATATCTTAGACTTGAGGTAGCAAGAGAACAACTGATTTTTCCTTGTGCAAGCTCATGACGCTGCATTAGCAGTCTGGCCAGGACTGCTGCTTTCATTGCGCCCATGTACAGCTGTTCCAACAAAGATTGATTTTTTTGGAAATCTCGCCAATGTGCAAAACCCGGGTTTTGTCCCTCACTTGATTTTGTCTCTCCGCTAATTGGAAGAATACAGGAAATAATAAACCTGTAATCAAGTTTTGTCTTTGGTTTTAGCCGCTGCGGAGACAACTTTCTCAAAAAAAAAGTTGTCAACCTTTCTTGGAACGGCTGTAAGATAGACACTGGTGGCCAAAGGCACGACGTCATCTGTGAGTGTGAGGTCCATCGGGACAGAAGACGTGGTGTATGAGCCAAAGAACGGGCCGGGAATTACCCGGCCCTACCACAGAGAGAGGTAGCACAAATCGTGAAAATTTTAAATCTTCACAGTTCTGTACACCTCTCAACGCTCATACACCTCAGCTTCAATTTCGTAAATCTAAAGAATTACGACTTCCAAAAAGAAATAATAAGATTTCATTTTCAAAAACCATCCCACCCACCCTACAGAGGACAGGGTATTATGGTACAAAGGGATAACTACCCAGACCGGAACAGAGGGATAACTATCCAGACCAGAACCGTCCAAACAGCTGTGAAACACAGAAAATAAGTAAATGTTGATACGGAAGCATGACAGATAACGTCCAGTGGAAAGAAATGCCTAAGGATGAATATGAGATAAGCAAAAAAGTTTTCCTTGGGCCACCCACCCGCCCCCGCCCACAAAAACCCTTTCTTGGACAGGCAGTCCCCGGGCCTCCGCCCCCCCACACCAGGTCAGAGCCTGAATAAGGTAATGACCTAAATAAAGACTGTTTGACTTGCAAGGAACAAGTTAGGATATGGATAGATAGTAATAAAACAAAGAGAGTCACATGAGACAAATACATTAATGAGAGACAAATGGAATGACAACATTAATGCGAGCACTATCTACATGAGCTTAACTAAAGCTGAACACGGAGTAGTCTGAAGATGGAATACAAGGATGCACCATGGAGTGAAAGCTGTGGGCAGGCTGAGAGGAGGGAACTCAAGGATCAGTGGTTTGATATGACTTTCTGCTGTTTTTAAAGTGCTAAGTTGTCAAAATTAAGGCTCCGTTTGGTATCTAAAAGATAAAAATGTACAAGCCACTTGCATGAAGGACTGCTCAGTACCATTTGATCCTCTTGGCTCCAGCTCCCTTTCCTCTATGTATTTCTCTGCTTTTAAATCTTTTTGGCCGAGGTTACTTTTCCTTTTCATGCTTTTTCATTGTGCTTTTCTCACCTCATTGATGTTGAGCACAAATACGTGTAGACACTCTCAATGTTAGATTCTGTGCTTTTTCCACCCTTGAGTAGGAATCATCAATGTCTTCAGTCATATGCATACATTTCTTCCAGTGGTAATCATTTTGGTCTTCCAACATGCAATCCTTTTGCTCCTGTCAAATTCCAATGGTGGGCCTTTTTGAGCTTTTACTACATATACCGCTATTTCATATGAGTCATGACAAGCTTTTCCAGCGCTTGCTTACTCCTGTGATACCCAAATTTCTCTGCTTCTCTTTGTTATCCATTTCATTTTGCCTCACGCTTTTTAAACCTGCTTTCCTTTTACTTTGTGCGCTTTTTAGGTG